TGGGTTCCGGGGTGGCGAGGGTGTGAATTGGAGGGTGCGTGTGGGGGTGAATGTGGGGGTGGGAAAAGTTAAAAGAGGGTTTTGGAAACTATTTCAATCCTTTTTGTAGGGGACTCATTTTCCTCCAAATATTTAAGCCAATTAAACATAGAAAAGTTGGAAAACATTCTTTCATACCATACACACCCTAAATAGAGAATCCTATTATAGAAATGTGATTCTTCATAAAGAGTATCCAATCATCTACACCTATTGGAATATTACATATGCTCCAAATGTGCATCAAAATAAAAAGTATTCCTCTGATTTCTACATAGGAGTTTTTAGTTCCTCCAAATACTCTTCTAATCCTCTTTTTTCAAGTTCTCCATGTCAGAAATAAAAGTGCAACCATCCATATTACTCAAAAGGTTTTTTACAGAGAGTAATGTTAAAGTGAGAAGAAATCAATAAGATAAACGAAATGGTCAATACCACACATTCAGAGCCACTAATAACTTCTTCAGATATGAACCACAATTAGCACACACTTTTATCCATTCAGAGTGATGATTTCTTCATATTGAACAATAAAATGCATTCAAATGACAGTCGTCAGAATCAACATTGCTTCAGAATGAGAAGGTAGCAAATAATCTACACTACAGATGCAACTTGAATACACTAAATAAAGAAATCTCAAGACAAGAATGTAAACAGTAAAAGAAGGTCCATCCTTTAAAGATAATACCTTGCGATTCTTCAGCCTCAGCCCCATATCCATAAACTTCTCTTGGAGAATTTTGATATCCGAACTTATAGAACCTATCTCATCCTGGTAGATAAAACAGTGAAATATCAAGTTTGATGACAGAAGAAACAGGAAAGTGGATCATGAGGATGTTAAATGGTTCTTCTTAAATTTCTTCCGGTTTCTTCTATGTATGATGAGAGAAAGTGGAGACACAGAGAAATCCTCACAGTGATATTGTCCCCACCTCTCCCCCCAAAAAATCCAAGTCATCCCAGGGTGTGAGCATGAATGACACTAAGCAATTTTTAACTGACATAGTAACAAGGTGACCTGCTTGTACCACTTATCAATCATATCATCTTGGTAATTTAAAGCCTGATTCACTGCTGATCACTTTGATATTGATAGAAATTAGAAAGTACCTGAAATCCACTGAGAAGGGTCTCCATTTGGAATAGGATCATGTCACAATCACGAATTTGATCATGAAGCGAGACTAGATTATCACTTTCCTTTATGTAATCCTGTTGATTTGATAAAACAGCACATATCATTATAAACAGGGGCTCTTTATCAGAAGTTTTCAAGGCACTCACCAAGAAACCTAGCACATAAGTACAAACTAAATGCATATATCAAATCATCATTTGTTTGGACAAGTCCGTATATCATATCATCATTAAAACCAAGGTCATTAGGCTACATGAATTTGAGTTGTGACAACCAAATGCACTGCATTGGTTTCTGGAAAGAAATAGGTTTCATTAGCTCTCCCGGATTAGTGGTTCGACACTGATCACAGACCAACATCAAACCAAAGAAACATTTGTAAATTCTGAGGCACATGGGAAATGAGTACAAACACAAGTCCTTTATGTGTCTCAGGTTGAGCTATACGTTCAACCCAGGTACGTTTAGTAAATCTCATCTGTGAACATAAGCCCATTCTTTTGGAGTATAGAAATGGGGAAAGAAATGGCTCTTGTTTTAAACTTGAGAACTGGTGGTTAGATGCTCTCAAAAAGCATTGGAAAGAAAAAGGAGGAAGAGAGTATGTCAGAAGAAATAAGGATGAAATCAATTGTACTGGGTAATTGGAAGAGCTAGCAAAAGCTAAAGAGACTTACTGGAAACAAAAGTCCAAATGCTTGTGGTGTCAATATGGTGACAAGAACACAAGGCTTTTTCCAGAAAATGGTCAATGCAAATAAAAGGGTGAATATGATTAAAACAATGATGGTAGAACGGATCATGCTAGATGATGCATACAATGAAAGCAGAATTCTGGGATTTCATGAAAAATATATGCAGAAGAGGAATATTTTGACAGGAGACTCATTGGGGTGACTGAGGAAGCTAATGAATGGTTGCAAAGACCTTTCAATAAGATGAGATAGAGAAAATCAGAAAATGATAGAGAGTATGTGAAGGGAAAAAAGGCCCTGGCCTGATGGTTGTTGAATATCATTTTCCCAAATATGCTGGCATTTGGTAAAATTCGAATGTATCAATGCAATAGAACTCTTCCACCAAAAAAACTGTTTCTGAAAGGAGATTAAATGTCACGATTATAGCATTAATTCCAAATAAGAAAAGGGCATAGAGCTAAAGGACTATAGGCCTATAATCTTAGTGCATGGAATACATAAGATCATAACCAAAGAAATGGCTGAAAGGCTGAAAAAGAACATTGGATATTTAATATCAGAGTCCCAAATGGCTTTTGTTGCAGGCAGGCAGAAAACCAATGTAGTAGCTTGCATGCTTGGATATGAGAATTAAATAAAAGAAACCAGGGATCATTTGGAAACTAGATACTGAGAAGGCCTAGTTGACCTTTTTCAGCTTTCTCTTCATTCTAGTAATGCAATCAGCGGAATGCTTAATTGCAGCGACCTAAGGATAAGTTAATGGTTTTAAAGTCAGAAGTAACAGAGACGCTTTATCTTTTTCACATATATTAAATGCTGACAATACCATGGTATTTTGTGACGCAGAGGAGAGCCAAGTAAGGTATTTGAGACAGTTTCAGGATTGCATGTAAACCTAACTAAAAGTTGTGTGTATCCAGTAAATGAGGTAGCATATTTTGTAGCAACTGGTCGATATTTTTTGGGGTTGCAGAATTGTTTCCTTCCCATCTACTTACTTGGATCTTCTTGTAAGTCAAAACACAATCTGTTTGCTGTGTCGCGGCTAGTAACTGAGAAGCTTGAAAAAAGACTATCACTTGGAAACATCAGTATTTATCTTTAGCTGGTAGAATGACTTCAATTAACAGTGTTTTGGTAGACTTCCAATTTATAATATGTCTCTTTTTCCCTTGCCAAGTAAGGCGGAGAATAAAGTTATATAAGAAAAACTTTTTACCAGAAGGAAATAGTCAGAAGAAGTTTCATTCAAATCAGATGGGGGTTACAATATGAGGGCGATTAGGTATAGAAAATTTTGAAGTTGAAAAACAGAAGTTTATTATATAAAAGTTGTGGAGACACAACCAGGAAGACAGAGTATTATGGAAGAAGCTGTTCCATGCTAAATATGGAAAAATGACCATTTCAGCAGTCCGTATATTAGAAACCTATAGACCGGATTCAAAACAAAACCCCGACTATGCTATTGTTTAATGAAAATACCTTACAATAATAGAATAAAGAAATAAAGATTTGGAAAGCGTAATGCATGATAATATTAATCATCCAAAGAGGAATAACTTGAAATTGCAAGTTATTAATACAGAAAGAAAGAACGGTGGTAATGTGTTTTAGTAAAGCAAACCTGGATAGAATCCAATTCAACTTGCCGCAAATTGTTTTCAACACCCTTAGTGTATTCCCGCAATGTTGTACCTTTAGAGAGTATGTTTGCAACAACCTTCAACGTACAAAATAAGCAAAATTTAGACCCAACAATAGTGTCCCTAAAGCTATGCCTCAAAAAGGGAATAAAAATTGTACTAAATTGTAAAAAAATAGCAAACTTTAATTCAATAAAATTCTGACTATTATTAAGATTGAAGTAACATAAGCTTATGAGAATTCTTACATCATCAGTATTACATTCTTGTAACTCCTCCTCAAGTCCCTCGAGGGATATATCATCGCTGGAGAAGAAAAAAATTATGTCCTAAATTGCCTTATATATAGAGGACCGAGAATTAAAAAAGAACAAGCATTATAGCAAAATTAGCAAACCTGGCAGTTTCATCCTCAACATTCAAATCGCCAACGAAGGATTACGGCCCATTATTTGCATCGGCCTAAAATACACAGATGTAAGGCGACACAAAGATATGAAAATGTGCGCATAATAAAAGCGTGAAACTTTCTGGGGAAAATGAGAAGAGAAGTTACCGATGTGTGGGTAGTCAGCTCTGCCATAGCAAGTTGAGCAATTTTGACAACTTTTCAACTGATCTACAGAGTGAAGCTATCTAAGATTGAGCTAGATCAAGCATTTCTATATTCATAAACGAACCACCAAATAAGAAGTTCCCCTGATGCTGTCCTGGTGACGATCTAGGGTTCAACCAGAGTGTTTCCGACTTCCTTTATGTGCAGGGAAGGGTACAATCTGTAATGCGTACAGTACAGGTACGTTTTCAATTCAAATACAGGTAAATTGAATGTTAACACGGGTGATTTTGTCTCCAAACCAAGTTAATTACCAACAACACCCTGCTATAAAATTCATCAATCTTATTGATAAAAATAAAATGATGATAAGATAATAGATATATTTTCTATTTATAAAACTTTTCACTAACATGCGATATTACACTCAGTCTTCCCTTAATTTGAACTATTTGTAACAAGTGTTAGTTTTGTAGTTTTAAATAACATAGTGAATTAACATGTGGACTATTAACTCTTTAAATAACAAAAAAAGGTCTTCATAAGCACATCCATCGAAATCCCCCTGCGTATTTGAGCCTCGCAATGAAACGTGATCAAAACGAAAACTAAATCAACTAAATGCTAAAAGTTGCATTCAAAATTATGCAAGAAAATGATAAGGTTAGATAAAGTTCGTCTGATCACCAATATCGTCAATTTATCTTAGAAAAGAGAATGACAAATAATAAAAATAATGATGATAATTAAGTTTTATTTTGAAGTAAATACATATAATATAACCTAGTGTTTTCAAGTTCGCTTATGGCGGGTTAAGGTTATTGATTTGTAGGTATTATTTTTAAGGGTTGTAATGGCTAGTAAGGATATAAAGTTGGCTAATTAATTGATACAATATACACATATTATTAATCAAGTACTTGATCTAACCGTTTCTGTTATCCTTAAAAATCATGAGAGTTGGACATATCTCTGTAAAGTTTGTAACTTCTTCATAACCTTTTTTTTTTTAATTTGTATATTTTCATTCCTAAAGGTATTTAATATCAATGATTATTTTGACATCTCTTTCTTTCAAATGAAGAAATGCATAAAAAATAATATCGAGATCATACTCATCTCGATTTTTTAATCTCCAAAATAGACTAACGGAAGATATTAATCTAGAATCTTATTATTATGGTAGTTGTCTATGAATACTAAATTAAACCAGCATATGCAAGGGAACAAAATCCAAAATGGTACTTCAATAGCTACCAACTAATATAAGTTACTACATTTAATAAAGGTAGTCAATAACCTTAAACAACAACAAATTACGGACATATAAAAAAAATTACATCCTTATAGTTTTTCAGCCACAGACAATGCTTAGGTAATTTCTTAGCACCAATGCTGCCAATAAAAGCTCCTAGAGAGAGCAAAAAAAGAAGTGATAGAAATTTACCGTAAGCATTTTCTCGAGCAATTAGAAGTTTAATGTCAAAGAAGGAATTACACAAGTTTTGTGAGAAGTGAAGGATTGTAGAAGAGATTTTATGATGTGAAGTTTGCGCCCGAAAAATTCAAGAACTAACCGTTCACTATATATGCATGAAAAGACAACGGTTGGGACAATATTTTCTTTTGAAAATCTGAAGCATTTGAAGATACACAACCCTTCAAGAACAATTTCCTCCTTCTTTCTATTTAAATACTATTAATTAATATATTATTAGAATAATTGTTTTTTACATAAGTAGGGGATTTTTAAAAGAATAAAAAAGTAATTTAACTTTTAACTTTAGGGGTTCATGCTTTTAATATAACTAGTTTTAGGGTAGGTGCATTGTACGTGTGAGACGCGTATGTTAGTAAGAAAATTGTATAAGACGAGAATGAAATATGTATAATAGTAATTAATGTCCAAATAAATTCAATATGCAATTGAAATAAAAATTGAGTGTAATTACATTAATATAATATGTGAATTCAAATATGTTGGATATCTTCTGAACCTTCAAAAGTCAGCACTTTGATTAGTTAAGGTAGTGATATACCATTTGTAATTATAAATAATATATTTTTGTTATAAAATAAATATTATAATTATAAACTAAAGCACCAAAAGAGAAGAAGACAAGAATAGATAAGAGATGCAGAGAGTAGGAGATAACTTTTCGTCTTATTTCAAGTATGATTCTTATTTATATTCCATAGGAGAATAACATCCTATTTATAGGTTACAAATCTCTTCTCAAGTTGCATGTATTAATGAACTCATTCATTTAGTATTGAATTTGCCAAAGACAGTTACGAAGAGAACATCTACATACATTGAAAGTGACATCCATATACATTTGATTTATAACACTTCCCCTTGGATGTCCATAGATAATGTGTCTCGTTAAAATCTTCCTAAAAAACCCTCGATGGAAAAAAGCCTAGTGAATGAAAAAGAGTACACACATCTTGTCATACGCATTGAGTGTTGCCTCATTAAAAATCTTATCAGAAAAATCCAATTGGGACAAAACCTTAGTTAAGGGAAAAATAGTACAACGCGTATTATACTCCCCCTGATAAAAACTTTATTTGATATCTCGGAGACGATGCATTTCAATCTGTCTCTTATTCCAGCTGCTCATTTTCTCCCCCTAATGTTGGGTATACCAATATATATTTCAATCTTCTTTGAGGACTCATCTTTGTGCATTGTGGTGGAGTAATTAGAATATATGTCACACATTCAAATATTCTGAGATGAAAAATATTTGGCTCCTGATCATAAGCCAATTGTAATGGGGAGACTTTATGATAATTTGTGGCCTGATCCATACAAGAGCTGATGCATGCAAATAGCATGACCCCATGTCGAGATGAATTTTTTTGTTATCATAAGCATTGGTCTAGAAATTAATTGGAGGCATTATTTGATCAATAATTCTGTTAGACCATTTTGAGTAAGAACATGAGCAACCAGATGCTCAATTATTATACCAGTTGATATACAATAATTATTAAAGGCATGTGATATAAACTCACTAGCAAGACGAAGTGTCTTAATCACATAATCTGGAAATCATGCTTTTAATCATATTAATGCGGCCAACAACCTCGGGAGTGCCAAATTTCGGGTTGAAAACAAGCACACATGTGACCATCTTGTAGATGCATCTATCAAAATCATATAATATCTAAATGGTCCACATGGAGGGTGTATGGGCCCACATATATCACCCTATATACGTTCCAAAAATGTAGGGGATTCACTCCCAATTTTAATTGTTGATGGTCTAATAATCAGTTTGCATTGAAAACATGCAGTACAAGAGAATTCTTTAGTTTGAAGAATCTTCTGGTTCTTCAATGAATGATCATGTGAATTATAACGATCCGACTTATCATTTTAAGAATTAACGCCTCATTCAACGACTTAAGGTCCCGGTCAACTTCATAATATATATTATGACCCGCGGGTATGGCCGAGTTTGATTTTCAGAAGATTTAGAATTTAATTGAAAGAGAAATTCTTATTTTGAAGCTTAAATGGAAAGAGTTGACCAAAGAGTTGACTTTTGAGCAAACGACCTTGAAATAGAATTTTGATGATGTCAATAACTTCGTATGGTGATTTTGAACTTAGGCGCGTCTTCGAATTTGGATTTGAAAGTCCGTAGGACAATTCGACTAATTTTGGCGAAAGTTAAAAAATAGACGATTTTCGAAAAGTTCGATCGAAGGTTGAATTTTTGATAATGAGGTCGGAATCTGATTCTGGAAATTGAAATAGGTCTGTTATGTCACTTATGACTTGTATGCAAAATTTGAGGTCAATCGGACTTGATTCGGTAGGTTTCGGCATCGAATATTGAAGTTGAAAATTTCATATTAGACTAAAGTTTCAAGTGAGTTCGCACAAGACCTAACTTCAAACGAGCATACCTCTCTTGATATGAAGAGTTATATAGTGTGTTTCCTATCAAAAGAAAGGTCTATGTGTCTAGTTTCCAACGCTTCAAACCGTTAGTCATTTGGACATTCCTACAAGAAGTTATGACTAAATTACCAAAGGTTATCAGAATGCGATTCTGCAACCAATTATGCGACCACTATGCGACCATTATGCGATCACAAAATAGTTATGCGACCGCAAACTGGTCCAGAACAGCCCAGTTATGGGCACTGATTTGTACGGTCTATTGTGCGACCACATAACTGAGTTCGGAGGGTTAATTTTCCTATTTTCATAACCCGACCCCATTTTGATAAATAGGCTTTGGGGTTTATTTTGGGGCAATTATCTGAGGTTTTTTAGAGAAAAGTGAGAGTGTTCTAGAGAGAGGAAGTAGATGAAGTGTTTTGTTCATCAAGATCTTGTCCAAACTTTGAAATCTAATAAGGAAATATCACAAGTTCTTCACCTAAGAGGTAAAGTTCCATACCCTAGTTTTCAATTTTGAATTTGGGTAGAAGATGGTTGATTAGGAGTATGATTCTTGGGTATGAGAGAATTATTTATACATGTATGTACTAATAAGATTTGTGGGAAGATTGTTGGTCTAAAATAAGTAAAGGTTTGGTTGAGGAGTGAAGGAAATCATGTAGAAGAACCTTGTAGACAAATTTACACACCTATTGATTGATAAAATGCTCAAATGAGCTGAAACCATGAAAATCTTCCTAATTATGGTTCACTTTTGTTATGTTTATAAATAGATTGAAGTTGCTAGGATTTTCGGAACCTCGTAGTAGTGTAAGGAAGGCTCAAGAAAGATTGAAGTTCAATTCACGTGAGAAAGCTATTTTGGAATATCGACCTAACTTCAAAAAGGTAAGTGTCTTACTTAACCTCGAGTGGGGGAATTTCCCCTTAGGCATTGAGTCTTATGTGCAATTTGTATAATTAAAAACCATGTACGCGAGGTGACGAGTACGTACTTGGTTTATATGTGCAAATTTTATTGTGTTAAAGTCTTGAGCATATTGTGTAGTAGATTGGATAATTGTTGGCATATATTTAATCATCTATTTGTCGTACTTAAATCCTTGTTGTTGACTCTGTTGTTATATGACAATTTGATATGATTGTTATTTGATTATTTATGAAATTTCGTGAATTTGCTGGTTTGATAATTATTGAAATTTAATTTCATTTTGGATTTTCCCCTCTGCAAATAATTAATTAAATGAGCTTAAGAAGAGGTGTTTATATAATTATTGAAAATTTGGAGTTAATGAAGACTTTGCTTTATGTTGAGTAATTTCTATCTCTGTTGATTGTTTTTGGGTGTTGTACACATTGTGTGGAGCCTTCAGTTATTTATT